ATAATTGAAAGCAGATTCAAGATTCCCTGTTAATTACACAGGGATAGTTTACTCAGTACAAAAGAATTCCAGCAAAAAAGGCTATGGGTATATATAGGATGCAAACACAAGGAACTGCACCAGGGAATGCAAGGACTGCTTTCTGCTAATGGCTAGACCAGACCCAGTGCAGAGGCTCAGGAGCAGTCCATTTCTTAGACAACTTGATTGAATACAAACCTCCACACAGAATGAGACACAGCTGCTCATTACTGGTGTTAAAGGTGATATGTCAGACTTGAACTCTAAACGTAAAGAAATCCAGAACTGTAGTTCTATGCCCAGGTTTTCTGTGGTCACTGGCAACGTATGATGCTCTGATACAACATACTTTGAGAAAATTCAGTCTTGAGGTTCCTATTGATAATGGCAGCTGGTTATACTTCAGCATGAAACACAGCTTGTTTGTGTTATTCACCATTAGCTCTGAGGAGGAAGATAGCTTCTTTCATACACTCAAAATTGGTTGAAAATTAAATTCCTCATTTTAAGACATCAAAAATATTGAATAACTTATGTCAATGTCTGACAAGGTAAAGGGACCTTATCACTCTCTTCAACTACCTGAAGGGAGGTTGTAGTCAGGTGGGGGCTGGGGTTTTTTTCCAGGCAACTAGCAACAGGACAAGAAGGCATGGCCTCAAGCTGCTCCAGGGGAGGTTTAAGTTGGATATTAGGAAGTATTTCCTCAAGGAGAGGGTGATTAGACATTGGAACAGACTTCCCAGGGAAGTGGTGGAGGCACTGTCCCTGGATGTGTTCAAGGAAAGGCTGGATGTGGCACTTAGTGCCATGGTCTAGCCAATCTGGTGGTGTTAGATCATAGGCTGGACCTGATGATCTTAAAGGTCTTTTCCAGCCTTGGAAATTCCATGATTCTGTGATGGATGAAGGATACAGTTCTACATTTAAAACCAAGCATCCTTAAAAAAAAAAATAATAAAAAAATATATATGACACACTGGTCTCCCAGAGAGTGTTACGATTCCACAGCATGATAGAGAAAATGAAATGATTTTTAAACAGTATATAAATATACAGAAAATCATCTATTCATTGAAAAAAAACACACAACAAAAGCATCCCAACTTTTAACATGGATATTGGAAACCTCTCAGCTCCTCCTTTGCAACATTGGATTCCAGAAATTGGAGGTATTAACTGAAATGCAGCAATGAAACCAAGCAACAACGTCCTAGGAACATGTGCAGGCTTGTCTCAAGGTGTCAGAGATTAAATCCCAGAACTGCAGGAAGCCAGTAGCAAAGAAAAGGAAGTTTACAACTTTCAACATCTGTGTTAAGCCTGCTCATCTACTTACTTTCTCCAGTTGCTATTCCCCCTATATACTTTCTGCAAGAAGTGGTCCCTCAACTCTGACTTCAAGCATAGATTTTGAACTTCTGAAAGCCCAAGACACAGACATCATCACCAAGCCCTTGCTGTGCATCAGAATACACCCTGAGAGGCATAGTAAACACAGAAAGAGTGTGGTCCAGGCTCAGCCTGCCTGAACCACACCTGTGCCCTAAGGGATGGCTATTGGCTGTTAGAAGTGCCAGTAGGGACAGGAGGCACAACAATTTAGGGGTAGTCTTGGCCTGTTATTCCACTAATAATAATAGTTTAAAACCAAGAAGTAATAAAGTCTACTCTTAACAGCAGTAAAACATTTATAAAGTAAAGAACCTACAAAGTAAGAATCTGACTGGATGACTCAGCCATTATTTATAGTTTTCTTATTAACTTCATGCTGGCAACATCACCATACAAAATAAGGTGCCATTCAACGCTTTCAAGGCAACATCATTGAACACCCTAGAATTAAGCATCATAAATTTGGTTATCCTCAGAATAATTACATTAGAGTTTCACTGGCACTTTGGACAATGTGATGTTATAAATTCAGCTTAAAATAGTGACCAATTTAAACATTTAATATATTGTTGTAAAATATGGATTTAATAGTAGTTTATATCTGTAATCTTGGTGTTTTTCATTTGTAGCTTTTCACTGTCATTTTTCTAGACTGTGTAAGCACTAAGTCTGTGGAATTACAACCAATACACTAAGGTCAACTCCATTAGAAAAAAAAGTCTCTTTATTAACAATTTTTTTGAAATATGCTGTAATTTCTAAACATTCCTCTGGAATGTAATTTTTTTTAGTACCATGAATTTCAATGCAATTACTTGCAAATACTGTATGAGAACCAAAGTGTCCTAGAACCTCAACAGTAATTACATACATTTACCTAGCACAGGCCTTTATAACAAGATCAATTACAAGCAGTTTTGATTTGGCAAATTATGTTAAAGTAATCTTAAATATTTTTTTTTGACAGCAATGTAGCAGGCTTTGGAAGATCCCAGGATCACAGAATGGTTGAGGTTGGAAGGGACCTCCAGAGGTCATCTGGTCCAACCTCCAAAGATGGGCAAGAGCAGAAGATGCTACACATCTTCACATTAGTCAGGTGTTTTTTAAAAAAATGTATATCTCATCTGGAACATACATTAGATGAATATAAAATTAACTGGAGAACCACACAAAAATAAATAGCAATATCTATCAAAATGAATGTACTAACCGAGTCTCCTTTATACTTACATGCTATTTTGATTTGTGATTCCAGAAGTGGAATAGACAGGACATTTATGAAATATTAATCAAATTGCAAGAACACTGGAACAGGAATTAAAAAACAAATTGGTCATGACAAATTGAAAAAGTTATCTGAACAAATTAGAACACAATTTAGTAACAACAAAGATGGTCACATAGTGAGAAACAGTCAGCTCTGTGAATACAGATAGCCACGTAGCAGGAAAGTTTTTGGAAACTTTGGGGATTACAAATAGAATATTAAACAGGAGTGCAGCATGCAAGACATCTGTTCCTTTTCTGCTCCATGGGTAAGTTTAAACCAGAACACCCTCCCCATTTTGGGCATCACACTTGAAGAAAGATGAGGATGTAGCATGGAACACCCAGCAGCTGGCAAAAATATGGTCAGGGATCATGAAAACCAAGGAAAATTAGGAAGAACTTAGAAGACTGAGGAAGAATACAGCAGTCTTCACAAAGACAGACTGTCCCAGAAAGAGTGGGATTTGTCTGTTTTCAGCAGTAATAGGGGCTTAAAGTGCTGTGCTCCTTCCCTGGCCTCACCCCTTTCCACTGTATGTGTTTTTTATCTCATTCCTAAAGATCTGTCCATCCTTATACTCAATAAATCATTGGAACGATGTAACAAGTTAGCATCACATTCCTGTTCTGCATGTGCCTCATTCTTTCACTCTGCATCTTCCCTGCACACAAGGGAAAATGAACCACCGTATGTGCATGCATGCATGTGTACTTTTGAAACACAAGCTCTCATTCCTGATTAGCCTTGAAAAGCCATCAAAATCAATGTTTGCTTACAGATGCTTCTTCATCAAGTTGCACCAGTACACCTCACAATGCCATTTCACAGTTATGATGCAGTTGGTCATAGCTGAGATTGTACCATATTATAGAGAGGTGACACATTTCTTTCTAAAATAACAGTATGAATAAATACCTGACAGCAACACCAGTTTATATTATGTCATCAGCTCTGAAGAGGAAATGACTGCACAGATTAATGAGGAATTCCGCCTAGAAGTCCAAGGTATTATATAGTCTAATATTAAACAAGAGCTAGATATGACCTAAGCTACTTAAAACAGCCCAGATTTTAATAGAGAAAAGAGAAAATGGCAGAGTACCAGGAGTCCATATTTATCTCTGGTGTTACACCAATGAAGCCAACAGAATTCCTTGAAGTTCAGAGTGCCTCAGAGTGCCACATGGCAAGTGCCCCAGGTCATTATGCAAGCTGCAAGGTATGATGGATGCAAAAAGCAATGCCATTTTCCCTTCCTATTTAGGAAACAATATACTAAGGAATATGATAGCACAGGACTGTATATCAGTAAATGTCTCTTTTACTGAGGAATATGATAGCACAGGACTGCATCTCAGTAAATGTCTCTTTTATTATTATGTAACAATTCTATAGTGTATATGCAATTAAACATAATTATGGGGTAAATAATATACAAGTAAACACCAAGTTTTATACAGAACTTTCTTTAAAAAGAAGTCAGGAATTGAATAGGCTATACTTTATTATTATTTTTTTAAATCCTAAAATTAGGAGATGTTTATCTATCTGATCAAGTCAGACTAACTATATTAATGCCCATACTAGAGACAGTGATTCCCTCATTCTTAGTGCTGACACCAAACACAATAGTGTTCCTGGACCCCCCTGAAGGCACGTTCTAAATAGACAGTCATATATAGATTATGACTGGGAACAGAGTACATAAGTACCTTTAAAAAAAAATAAATTAAAACCTGGATTTCTTTGGACATATGAGCAATAAAAAGAAATTACCTAGCCTTTTTTTTTAGAAAATGCATCTAAACATTTCGCATTCTTAGCCTGCTTCTGGCTTTACACTCCCTGACGAAGGCCACTATTTACTTGTGATGACGAGAGGTTTCTGGCCAACATTGTCAGCAATTGACAGCATGTCACAGCTAGCAGTTTCAGGCACTGTTTAGCATTTCTGACCAAAGTTCTGCCTTTCCAGGAGAACAAGACCCTTGCCAACAACTTGACAACTGAGCACTCCTAGGGAAAGGGGACTAAAGGAGCTGTTAATGTCCCACTATTTCCAGTGCAGGTCTGTGTCACCCTGTTTACATCATGCATCATTCATCTGCCGTGATGAAATACAACCCTGCAGTTTAAAAAAAGACTCTGCAACGTTGAGGATACTATATCTTTGTGAGAAGTGTTTCACATATTTTCCATGGGCACACTGCTCCCGCTTCTATTTAAATATCTGTAGCGCTCTTCAGCAGACATTATTCACTTCAGGAAGCTCATTCAGAAGGTGCTCAGCATAAGAAGAGGAAAAGCCAGCATGGCAGCAGACAGTGATGTGGCTCCTGAAGGAAAGTCAAGCACTACTCCTCCCAAAAGGGCTGTCCACAAGATCCAAATGGCCAGCGGAGTCTACAGCTTGGCACAAGGTTGGCAGCAGTGGGCATCTGACCACCACATAAAGCAAGCTCAAGAGCCTTCTGGATGGGTCCTCCCTGCAGAAGACTCATCAGCTCAGCCTGTCCAAGAAAGACCCTTTGAAAAATGGTCAATTCCATCTGTCAAGAGGGACCAAGGAAAAGATGAGCAAAAATCCTCAGCCAAGGAATCACTGACAGTAAGAGATGCTGAAAAAAATTCAAGGGAATCAGATGAAGCCCTCAAGAAGTTCAGCATTAAAAGCAAAGAGGTGACCAAAACCATTGTAAGCAAAGCCTATGAACGGGGAGGTGACGTTAGCCTCCTCAGTGAAAGGTATGAGAATAACAATAGCAATTCAGAGATGACCAAGCTCAAAGAAGAATCGAGTGCTATTGACAAAATTCTTAGTGGCAAATTATCTCCAACCATGAGGAGAAAGTGTTCAAACATGGTGTCAGAGCTGACCAAGGGCTGGAAACAGGTGGAACAAGAGGACAACAGGGAGGCTAAGGAAAATCTGCTACTTAAGTGCCATCGTGACAGCATAGATACAGTGGACAGTGGCTATGGGGAAGGAGAGGACAAACTCGAGCAAGAAGACAGCGACCGAGAGGTGACAGCTGTGAGGATTAAACGACCTATGCCATCTCTGTAAGTAAAATTTATTACATGATCACAAATGATCAAGAGACCCTGAGAGAGGTACAGGTTTCCATGAGGAAGATGAGAGGGTAGGGGGGGTGGAGGTGGGGAAATGATTGAAGATAAACTATTACTCTTGAAGAAAAAAAAAAAAAATAAAAAAAAAATCCAGGAAACCTTTCATATATCTCTCCATGCTGAAGCAGGTAGTCAATAACACCTGACTATAACCTTGAGACTATGGCCTACATACTATATAGATAGTAGAGACAGGAAGTGTCATTTGGGAAATGTTAATTTTATTTAATTTTCACACTGGATATACTGCTTCATCAAAATCACTACTTACCTCTTGATACTTTAGTTCATATTCCAAAATAACATTTTTTACCTCATTAAGAACCACAATTATTAATTTATTCCAACAAATGTTAAGTCTAAAGCAATATACTTGACAATATTTCCAAATACTTATTATTTTAGTATAAATTATTATTTTAGTACAAATTGTAAATCTTGTCAGGGGTGATTTGTAGAGAATGTCCAAAATAGACATTGCAGGAATTACTTTTAAGTACATCTTAGCAAAAGCTGGGTTCACTGCTTTTCTTCGGAAGCTTTCCATAGATTTGTAATTCATCAAGCCAAAGAATGAAAACTTTCACAGGACCTGGGACCTCAAACACATCAGAAAGCATCCAGCCTGATTCAACACCTGCAGGACTCATGCTCTATATTATAAACAATTTGACAAAAAGAACATTTGAATTATCAATTGATTCTTCAAAGTCAAGGTCTCTTTCAGTACACTATCATATGTGGGCAGCAGGGAAGTACATTATTTGAATATATTGTTGAAGTAAAAGTTCCTGACAGTAAACTGTGTGAGGAAAAAAGAAGCAGAATCTGTTATTTACCTACAGAGTTACTACAGGCTTTACTGAAAATTTTGAATTAAGTAGCAAATGCATTGCATTAGACAGTTTTGAGTAATACCTCATTCAGTAAGGTGCTCACACTTTAAGATTACTACACAATTCCACATGTGTTTTAAATTTGGAGGCCAGGTAATAAACAAGTAGAGTTCAGTCACAGACATGCAGACCTTGGGAAGTCTCCCAGAAGAGCAGAGGAAAAGCAGAGGCTGGTAGAAATTCTCCTCATTTCCTTTCCCAGAGATCTCTATCACAACTCCCCTTCCAGAAGACAGCTACAAACAGCTGTGCTGTGGCCAGACTTGCCAATGAGCAGATACCAAACTAATTCATCACTCTCTTGCCAGTAAAAGATTGGAAGATCCATAAGTCCAAGGCTGCAAGATGGGAAACTGTAGGCAGCTGTAACATAGACACAACATGCTTTGTTCCAGCCCTCTGTTTTACAAACTTGGCAATGCCCTGGAACAAAGACAGCAGGAAGGAAGGTGTGGTTGAACCTGAACAGTTTGGGTGCAAAACCTCACATGTAGCTGTAAAATTTCAATGAAGGAGAGTGCAGTCCCTGAGTCCAGGGAGCACTGAGGGGTGGCCAAAGTGCAGCCTCTGTGCTGCCCGCCCGCTCCGCTGGGCAGGGAGGGAAGCTGGAGGCACAGCTTGAGCCACGCAGGGCTCAGCAATGCTCATCTGCCCAAGCCCATGGGAGGGAAGAGGCTGGGTTCCTACCAGGAGCCATCTTGTGGTGGGGCCTGAATCTTCACTGCTTCTACTCTGTGTCCATCACCCACACGCACAACGCCAGCTGGACAGGAGCCAGTTTGAAAGGAGTCAGGAGGGTTTTCACCCACCCAATCAGCCTGTGCCTAAGGGAAGAGCAAGGCAGCAGGAAATCGGGGGATCAGGGCCAGTAGATTCATATTGTATCCTAATCGCCATTTCAGAAATGAAAACTGGGACTAGCACTGATGAAAATGCCAGAAAAGTCTTAGTGGTGCCTTTGCAGGCAGGCAGCATCATTCCCACTACTTGAGTTTTACACCTCACAACTGATGAGCACTATGACCAGCATCAGATTATGACTAACATAGTCCTGGATATCAACCATACAGTTCTTTTTAGCTCAGCTGTCTGAACATATGGAGCTACTTTAACTATTTTGATTGGAGATTAGAATGATGTTTTGCTATGCAGCTGACTAGTCATCCCCCACAAGGAGCAAATGGTGAATGGCCAAAGTAAAAAAAAACCTTCATCAACCTACAGCTTTTAAGTTTGTAGCCCCTGCCTTCAGGATAGACTGTATGCACTGTCCTTTCCCAGAATGTAGAACCTCAAACCCAGGATTTCACACATGCAGTGGGAAAACTGAATACACTTACAGTAGATAAAATCTGTAAGTAACCTCAATTACAACAAAAATGTAACAATAATAGAATAACAGAATGGTTTGTGTTGGAAGGGACCTTAAAGATCATCCCACTAGATCAGGTTGCTCAGAACCCCATCCAACCTAGCCTTGAACACTTCTAGGGATGGTTTATCATTGGGAAACAAAATTACCTAACTTAACCCCACTGATGTATTGTAATGCTTTCCTGAAAAAATCTACTTGTTAATCACTTACATGAACAAAACCACAGGTACATACACACAGCCTGTTCTCAGGATTCTCTGCAGTCACACCACAGAAGGAAGGTTCGTGTACTTGGCAACATGTGTGTGCTCAAGTGTCCTGATGTTTTTCACCATCAATATGGGGAAGAGTATTTTGGAGCTAAAGTACAGTTTCTCAAAATAGCTATGCCAAGCTAATGGCAACTCCAACAGAGTGGTCTTGCTCTTCTACTGCTTCTTCTATCCCTGACTCTAAACGTCTGCAGTTCTTCCCCTAGCTGTGACACGGCTGCCCAGAACTGGCATCCTTCTGGTGCATGGATCTGAATTCAGAACGTCTCTGTCGCTCCTATTCTTTCTTTCAAGGGGTTTAGTAGAAAACAAAGGAATACCTAAACAGCAGGGAAACAATTTTCTGCAGGCTTGCAGTCCTCTGTACTGTTTGTCTGACTGTATTTGGTTCTCCAGTGTAACTGTTAATATCTAACAGACATTACAGGGGAGGTTTCAGAGCAGCCTTCTGGGAAGTAAAAATATTAGAAAACAAATTACTTTGGCACAGCCACAGCACAACACACGCCCCAGTTGAGCTCTGTACAGACACAATGACAGGATGTGGACAGCACAAAGATTAGCTCAGACTATCTATAGCTTCTCCACACCACGTGAGATTGGCCGCTAGAGGAAAGAGTATCAACAATTTGTCTGACCAGTCATGCAGCAATAAGATGCCGCTATGCACACACACACAAATCAGGAAGATCACTGGTCTTTTGTCATCCTTTGACCTTGACACAAATCTCAGTAGCCCTAAGTTCCTATCAGGCATGTACCCTGACAGTGAGAATATGAATTTGTTTAGACACTTGCTTAGAATCATACTTAAAATCTATAAGCATAGGCAAAGCTACTGCATGCTATTAGCTTTTTGTTGCTTTAAACATCAATGTCTATTGCAGAGGACAGATTTTTCTAGTCCTACCCTCTGTTTTTCATTTAATAGCTGAGGACCCAGTCCATACACTTCTAGTTATTGTCATTTCCAACATCAGGGAGGCAGATTTAAGGCTCTTCTAGACAGTCAGAAACGAGGAACTGACTGATCAAAGGTATAGAAAGCGCAGGTGATCAGTGAGATACTGTTTTGATCCCATCAGAATTAAGCCATTCTGGGCAAAAGTTTGTCAAAACAAGCTCAGATCTAGGCTGAAGGGTGGTAGCATAGATGAGATTGAGGTGTCCCCAGCAAATTTGTTTTTGAGTGCAAACTAGAACCTGGATTAAAAGCCCCCAAAAACCTCATTTAGAAGTAGTGAACTCGTGCCACCTGGTGGTTAGCATCTCATCTGGAAAAACACAGAAACCAAGTTAGCAGAAGAGATTAGTAGCAGAACCATGCAATTAAATGATGAAATGCAAAGGTCAAATGCCCTTTTGTTTGTTTCAGGGCAAGCAGGTTTAGTGAAGGAGCACGCAGCCAAGCCCACAGGAAACACAGCGCTGTCAACAGCCTGAAGGATAGATGGCAAGAATGGGCTGACCAGCACATGGCAACACAGAAGCTGAATCCCTTCAGCGAGGAATTTGACCATGAGTTGGCCATGTCCACACGCCTGCACAAAGGAGATGAAGGCTATGGCCGTCCAAAGGAAGGAACCAAAACTGCTGAAAGGGCCAAGAGAGCCGAGGCCCACATCCACCGGGAGATTAGAGACATGTGCTTCATCATCGAGTCAATGGCTAAACCACGGCCCGACGGCAAGATCCAGGTCACTTTCGGGGAACTCTTTGAGAGATACGTTCGTATTTCAGACAAGGTTGTTGGGATTCTCCTGAGAGCCAGGAAACATGGGCTGGTGAACTTTGAGGGAGAAATGTTATGGCAAGGAAGGGATGATAATGTCATAATTACTTTATTAAAATAAGCATGCTACAACCAGAACAACTTGTTTTGTAAAGCCTCCCTTTACTTCTCCTTTGCTATTAGCATTTGCACATTTTGAATACAAGACTCCCCTGCTCACCTACAAGTGATAATGAGCATTTTTCTAACTACATATTTTATAACTACTGCATGATAATGCAAGCGTTCAAATGGATTTTTCTCTGTACTAGAAGGGCTTGAAGGACACTTCAGTTGGTTACTACATGAAAAATAAAGAGAAAAATCCATATTGAACATAAGCAGCTGATTATTAAAACCCATAACAACAAATGAATTCCAATTGTTATGTGTTTTTACATTCAAGATTTTCCCAGTTATTTAAACTGGGATATCAGGAATATAAACCATGCCAGATCAGCAGTTCAGTGACAATATAAAATATGACCAAGTTTTTCATCATGAAAGTGATCTTATGCATGTATTTTCTAAATAATTTATTTAAATGCATTTAGAATAGTTTGAATACAGAATCAAGGATACTACATTTGTTTCCTTTACAAGCAGGATACTCAAATACTACTGCAGTTATTATCTGGTTGCAACTAGTGACAATTTTCTCTTATATATCACATACAAACTTAGACAAAATAGCTTTTTATAAATGCAGTTTTATATTTTATGTATATAAAGTTATTTCTAGAACTAATTTATTAGTTTTGTATCTAGAATTATGGATGTTGGAGAGAAAACTCCCAATAGAATGTAATGCGCACAGAAAAAAATTTTGATAGTCACACAGAAAATACCTCCTATGAAATGTTGTGCAATGCATCATATAATTACCTATGTAAACAGTCTTTATAAATATAAGGGAAAACAACATGCAACATAACGAAAACAGTCAGGTACTTGTACTGTTGTATATAAGAAAAAAGTTTCTACAATTGGCCTCCTCCATTGAAATATGCTTCTCTAAGAAAAGACACAAACACCATTTGAAACTGGAATCAACAAACTTTAGGAAAATGGTGTTCATATTACAGAGAAACTCTGGCCTGCTTTTACAGCACTTGTCAGCTGAACCATTCTGATGTCACAAAAATAATATATTTTGGTCCAGGTGATGCTGAAGAGGGGTAAATGCTAATGAACTGATACTTCTAGTTTTTAAAATTGTTTGTACTATGTATAAATCTGAGACACAAATCTGTAAGGTTTCTAATGCTTACTGGATTATATAGATCACTGTTTCTCTAAACTACTCCTGCAAAAATAGCTATCCTACTAAAAATGTGATTAATTTAAAACAACATTTTTCAGAACGAGATGCCTGGGCAAGTAATTTGCATAATCAAAAAGCATTTTTTTCTCCACCCCCAAAAAAAGATTTTCAAACAGAAAGAGCAAATACCTTCTTACAGAAGAAAATATGTATGAAAACATCTTGTCTCTGTGATAAAACAAATATTGCGATCTTATTACGAGTACCTATACTCTGGTTTGAAACTCTAATGGACAAATAAGTAAAATACTCTCTAAGTCAGTGATACAAGAACTTATGACTATGCATATTGTAAGTCTGTGTAAGTAATGAATATTTTAGACACAGTTGTATGTGGTGAACCTAAAGAACTAAAAAAATCATTGTAAGATGGATTCAGCAGAACTTAATATTTTCTCGAGATCTCTCAGACTACTCAAGCTGACCTGCAAAACTGACCTTTTGAGTGCAATACTTACATATCATTATCTGCATATTCTTACCTTATTCTTTATGTCTTTATATAATGACCTTCGCAGATGTTTAAATTGTCTTGAGGAAATTTGGTTGTCAAATGAGTACATGAACGATAAATAAAACCCTTAATTGACGATTTCTTGGGTTATTCCTCTGACACACTAAAGAAGTCTGTGTGTATGTCTTGTGAAATAAAACATCAGTAAGTTGTTTTTTTTTTTAAATTTAAGTACATTTTCCTTTTCACCAGCATTTAATGTATTTCCCTGTGAAGGTTTCTCTGTCCAAAGCACCAGAACAAGACTTCAGAACACATGGAAATGAAAGTCCTTCTATAAAATACCTGTACAAAGAATACACACTTAAGACATGCAAGTGTTAAGTGAATTATATATTTCTGCTCATAAGAATCCTCATCCTACCACAGGACAACACAGAGATCCAACTCACCGCAAATGCTTTTTGTCGGTGTTGTGTTCATGTGTGACTTGTAGCTCAAGAGCATCTCACCACTGTGTGAGGAATCAATTCCATCTAGTTCCATTCACTGACCTGAGACAGTCGTAGTCAAAGTTTGTACTGAAATACTCAAACTGAAGTAGACCTCTAAGAGGTCTTCAGCATTATGCATGTTTACAGCATGTGAGAAGGGTTGATGCTTTGCTGTTAAGTCCATGCCATCTGCTACTTCACCCTCAGGAAAATGTTTGGAATACAACTAGTAATGTACTGCTCAAGTAGGAATCAAAATCACCTTCCTGGCTTAGGTCTTGATCCAACAAAGTAGCCTGTAGAAACAGCAAAATAAATTAATTTTTTCCAGTTGTTCCTACCTGTTTAATAGGAAGATGGAACCATGGAGTGCCTCTTCTCCTTTATCTTCTACTTGCTGAGCAGTGCTTCCAATGAAGAAGCAATTACATGAAAAGAAGGCAGAAATTGTTGCCAACACTTTTCATTCACATGAGAGTCACCTCTGCCCTGGTGCATGCCTACTGACAAAAAAGGCTGGGCTGGCAAGGTCACAATCAGCTTTAGCTTCAGCATTTTATTGCTCTTGCCCCATACAACATGGGAAGCCAGACATCTGATTTGAACTGAATACTGCTGGCATTCTCCAATGCTGACACCTTCCTCCAGGTTCATTAGGGAAAGTTAAGTAATTACTCCAGAGGCAACTGTTGTCCTGACCTACTCTTAACATCTGAAATACAGGTACACCTGCACCTAAGTTAATACTGTGATACATAAGTTTCATACCCTCAAACATTTGTGAGCAACAGATCATTGACATTTGACTTTTCTGCAGGCTCCTGTTCACCCACCAGAAGTCATTACGGACAAGACTACCCTTTAATAGTTTAATAAAATGCATATGCATATACTGGGGGCAACTGAGGTGAGGACGGACTAAACTGCAGGTGAAGTTCTCAGCTGAACTGCAATTCAGGGACAGAGGAGATGTGGAACCTTCCTGTTTTCTCCTTCATGGAATGCAGCAGAGAGAACTGTAGTTTACTAGGAAAGCAAAGTTCTGTCCTTGCTATCAAAAACCTCGTCTCATCCTCTGTAAGAATTGTGAGGTATATTTTCCAAACTCTGAATGTACCTTCCATGATTAAGTGACAGCATGGAATTTAAATCAAAAGAAATAAATTTGACATTCATGCTTTTGTATTTTTTCAAGTTGCTTGAAGCTGCAGTGGCTTGAAGTGAATGGATGGTAGACTGGATCCCATCCACTGAAAATCAGCTCCCTCCTCCATGGCAGAAATTCCTTCTTTAAAAAGTTTCTGTACGGACAAGGTTCAGCATTAAAGCTCATTTTTAAAACAAGCGAAGGCTGCTGAAATACAATTATCTGTAGGGGAAAGCGTAACATTTGTGGCAAGCTGTTCAATTGTTACTGACCACAGAACACTGGCAAGTCCTGCTGCCAGCGTGATGTATGCATTGCACCACACCAACATCTCAACCAGTCACTCCCACCAAAGGGCACACTGAAAGCAGCTTAGTGTTCAACAGCATGTCTACGACTAGCAGAGTAACTACTACAACAGAACCTCAACAAGGATCACGAAGCTTGTCAGACAAGCAGGACAGCAGAAATCAGAGCTTAAACAGCCCAGACATGGGTGCTAGTGCCACAAGACCACTTTGGTCTGTACACACTACAGAAAGAGT